CAGATCAGAGATTATCGTTATTTGTTTATATTTAGGTGATTCTGTGATAGAACTTACCAAGACTGACCATTGTACAAACTATCTGAGATCGCTCGGTAACTTAGAACTCAACATACATCTGGTGAATATGCATATAACCCAAACATTAGCACAAATTTAACTGTTTGTTGGATATTATGAGAGAGTTTTTAGAATTTTAGAGGAACTTTTATTACTAATCTTTTGCACCCCCAAATAACATTGAAACTTTCAGATTGTTTGCTTATCGTTCAACCGCTGTAAAGTATATCCAAATAGGAATTACGTAACGTGCATAGCACGAGAAGTAACAAGCACTAGCTTCAATCATTTATCGAACCGTATTCCCAACATGCATACACAATATGGAGGGATTTTGCGGGCCGGTGTAGAATCCTTTTGAATGTTTTGTTTTTTGGAAAATCCCTCCATGTTTACATATTTTTGTTATGACATGACGGACTTTTTCTGTTGACATTTTTGGTATTTTATTTGATTCCAATTTCAGATTTATCATTGTATATTGTTATTATTTCTATATTTTGTACTTATATTGAAGTTTTTATGTTTGCTTCTGAACTGTACATATGTTGTTTAAATTTGATAAAATATGGCTACCGCCACATTTTTGGATTGATATCGTGCAGTATAGGAGTTCACCTAGACTTCGGAACCTCGATACTCTTTCAGAGTAATTTTGAATTGGAAGGCATAAAATTTGTTAGGTATTGTTTGTATTTCCATTTATTATCTATTAATAGACCATTTTCCCCTAGAATTATTGTGTTTTTATATTATAAATCGGGAAGTGCGTCCGACATACGTCTATTGGAATCGAATTGAACTGCCACGGTAGAAAATCCAATTGCAATGATAAGATGTAAATTTATTCAGAGTTTGAAAAATCTTTTTTCCGTAACACCTATCTAGTTGAGAACAAGAAAGCCACGTTAAACCAGGAATCAGAAATGGAAAATATCATAGGTGTAATTGAACGGCTGTCCGGATGTCGAGAAGTGATTGATTAAAGCTGGTTAGTTAATTCGAGAAGACTCTTGGTGAACCATACCAGGCGGTGATCCGATGCGAGTGCTAAACCGAGCGTCTTCAGCTTGTGCATGTGCAGTGGAACCAATGAAGTCAGCATTGCTTTCTCAGACTTACAGAACCTTTTATTTTGGAGACTTATTTACCACCACCCACCATTCAATATCTAATAACTTTTTCACGAGCTAGTGTAAACTAATTGATTTCTTCGCGCTCGATTCTTGTTCCTTCGGTACGTTTCCAGGTGTTCGGTAGTGTCCAATGGATGAAGGTCTAGCCACTCGAATATCTAATTCTGGTCAGTTGGCAGTTGGTTGTGAGTTTGTATATCTCAGGATTTAAATGAAAACGTTTGTTTCAGGGCGGCAGGGTTTCTGGATAACAGCAGCCGTCACATTACTAGGCCGGAAATCAGTTAGTTGCAATGTGGAGAGTAATATGGATAATAAGGATAAAATTCTAATGATAATATGAATAAAATTTCAGAAGTGAGTATTATAAATTTGAATTTAGTTTATTAATTGGTAGTGAAGATTGTGAGAGAGGACCGTAATGTAAGCAATGGGGTGGTAACAGAGATGAGAGGCGATAGATTAAATAAGTGATCTGAGTTGGCAATGATAACGACTTGCAGGTCTCAAGATGTGCATCATGAACAGCTTGTCCAAGAGGGAGATGATAATCCGTATGTGAGTACGTGATTATCAAGTCTCTTGTTAAAGCAGTCTACTGAGGGGGCTGCGATCACCTTGGCTGGGGGAGCATTCCAAGTTGCGAAGACTCGCAATGAGAAAACGTGTGCACGAATCTGAGTATTCGCTCTTTGATGTGCAATCTTTCGAGGATTTCCTCGAGGGAAGTAGTGGTGATGCATCGGTAAGGTGCACATATTGGGATAGCTTGGCGTGCTTAATATGTTGTACGCCATAATCAGATCACCTTTGATTCCCCTGTAGCTCAGTGGAAATAATCCCAAGAGCTGGAGTCTATCGTCGTAGGGTTTATTTTTCAACCCTATCACCCATTTGGTTGCTCGTCTCTGCACTCGATTCAAGAGATTTATGTCTCCTTTAAGCAGAGGGGGTGCAATGACATTATGAAGCTCCAGGTGTGGGCGCGCGTACGTCTTAAATAGGGTCAAAAATAATTGCGGCGTGATAGCACCAAGTTTTCTTCGCATAAAGTGAAGAGTCGCACTTGCCTTGGCTGCGTCCCCTATATATTTCGGGATCGTGTGGAGGCTTTCTTTGGTTATTAAACCAAGATCGCGCTCTGAGGAGACATTAGTGAGCGGACTTTCATTGAGAGTGTAGGTGGTTTGCGTCATATGAGGCAGGAAATGCATGACGTGGTACTTCGGTTGGCTGAGTTTTAAACCGTTTTTCACTGCCCATTTCTCAATGGATGTAAGGTCCTTTTGAAGCTCAGTCGAATACTCTTCGCTTCTAATGGACCTCAAGATCTTTGCATAGTCTCAGTAGATCAATGCCGGCGAGCTAACTCAGCCTAATAGGTCGTTAATATATACCAAGAAGGGAAGTGGGCCTAAGATGGTCCCCTGAGAAACTCCCGATATGGATACTCGCCAGCTCGCGTGCACTCTATCAACCTTGGTGCGAAACTTCCTATTCTCAAGGTCGTTTCTGAGTCAAGATAGGAGTGGATCGGTGCAGCCCATTTCCACAACCTTTTCGATTAGGCTTTTGCAAAGTCGAAAAATATTACTTGCACCGGTATTTTACGGTTCAAACAGGATGTCCAACTATCCCATGCAATGACAAGATTAGATGCACACGACATGCCTTTCCGAAACCCGTGTTGAGTATTTTATTCTTATCCATCTACTTCCACATTCGTTCTTCCACCAGCACTTCCATTACCTATGATAGTATTGATAGTAATGCGACCGGTCTGTAACAGGCTGGATCATTCCGATCTCATCCTTTGAAGATTGGAGAGAGAGTAGCTTGTTTCCATTCAGCTGGGAGTTGGTGTGATTCCAGTGAATGCCTGAACAGGTAACGTATCGGTGAACAGAGGACTTCTGCACATTGTTTCAAGATGATGAGGCGAATTTTGTCACAACCTGGTGACTTACCTAGGCATGAGGATTTTAGTCTCCTTAGTACTAAGTCAGGATTGATACGGATGTTCCCTAAGCCGTCAGCTGGCAATGGGTTGGCGTAGTACTCTGAACATGTGGGCGCCTGGATTAATTGATGAGAGAAGTTAGTGTTGAAGATCTCGTCCATCTCTAGGCTGGTGAGGTCTTCACGTTTGGTCCTTTGAGAGAACATAACCCTTGATTAGTAGGTTTTCAATTGGACATGAACCTAAACAGATGTTTCGGGTTTGCCTGTATTTTGGCTGCTAGCTTCATCTGAAATTGTCTCCTATCACTTCGAACTTTGGTATTGCATCGCCTGTAGCAAGCGTTCAGTTCCGCGCCAAAAGGAGGTTCTTCTGTTCCCGGGTGTGTGGTGTGACTGAGGTACATTGTCTACGACAGCGTTTTGGATGGTAACTCTCGCTATTTGCCAGTGATCATCTATTGTCAGCCTCCACCACTCCCGTGGCCACGGGGCATGTAGGAGGACCTCTCTCATACGTGTATAGTTTGCCCTAGTGTAGCGAAGATAGAGCTCGTTATCGTCCTGTGTGGGTTTCGTTTATGAACATGTTAAACAAGACTGTGCCATGGTCACTACTACCTACTGGTGAATCCAGGTGAACATCCTTAACCAGGGGCTGGTAATTTATTAACAGATAATCCAGGTTTGAGGACTTTTCCTCTTCAGTCTATCTAGAGGCACTGCATACGTGCTCAGTCAGCCCAAAGCTTCTAATGGCTGTACAAAGTTGTCTTTGGAACCAACCAGTGCGAGTTATACTCTGACTGCTGAGATTTAGAGAGTATTTGATCGAATCCTAGGAGTGACAGTTGCAGTATTACCTCAATCAGATAAAAGCAACCGCAGCTCCATCAGAGAATAGCACCACCAGTATTTACCCCATCCCATGATTTACTGTCTCCACTGTTGTTCTTACACTTTGGTCTTCCAACACAGTCTGCATCACTAATTAGTTAGTTTTTTACTTCAATCTTGAAAAAGTCATCTTCTCAGCATTTCAGTTTCCTCTCATTAACTTTCTCTTTACAGACAACCAACCACCTACCTGGTAATATGACCTCTTCAGGTGTCTAGAAACACTACCACCCAGAGATAAACACAAAATCGAATTACAATACATACAAATCTATAAATACCAAACTTACTAGAATAAGTGCTGTCGGGTGACTAGACTGCAGAGCATTGGAAGTTACCAAATGCCGTAGCGAAAGAAAATGACGAGAGCCTTTCACAAAGTATTCGATACATTTTATAAGAAGAATGAATTGTACCGAATCAATAGGAAGCCAGAGCAAAGAGGTAAATAGGTTTATACTAGCTCGTGAAAAATATATTGCATATTAGATATTGAATATTTGTTCTAGGTTAGAGTTCAATATGATAGTAGAGGCGCTAAACATAGTCATCTAAATTTGGTGATGGAGTCGAATGAGGAATTTGTCGTTGTTGACGAAGAAGATGATAGCCATCGTGACACTGTGGCCCGCCTCGATGTTTTGGTTGACCTGTTCAAACAGACAATCCGTAAACCTAACACTTTATCTAGTTATTTCTTTCAGGCACCCTCAATCAGTCGAGCATCCTGCTAAAGGATGAATTACAAACGGCTATTAGCGTAACACTACAAAGTAGCACACCAGATTATTCGTCGACTGTAGAACACTTAGTGAAACAACTGGATGATATTGTAAGACAACGTTCTCATCATATTTCTAGTCGGTTAGCCCAGATGAAGTGCGTAAAACCTATGTAAGACAACTGTGTTCACGTCTGGTTGCTGTCAATGAAGAGAAGCAAATTGTTATGACAGAGTTAGTAGAGTTAAATAATCAGCTTCGTATAGCGGAAGAAGAGGCTCGCGTACGTAACCGTAGCTCTTAGAGTTCCACTAATTATTTTAACGAACTATCTTATTTTAGAAATGGAAGAAACTCATCGAGCCGATATTAAAAATCGAGACTGAAATCAATAAGCTCAATTCAACACTCCTGTGAGTTTCCCCATCTCTACTTCTCAACACGTAATAAAATTAATTCTTTCAGTTCTAAGGAGGAACCTTTTTCGGACGAAACTGAACCACTTAGCTCTGACACTACGATCGATGGTGTGTGCGACTTTCTTCATTCTATGCACAACAAGATTCAGATCCTGCACGCTAATGCCTGCGCAATGAAAAGTAGGTCTAGCTATTTTGGAGTTGATATTGTCTCGCAAGGTGACAAACCACTCAACTTTCTTTCTTATTCCTTATCATTCATTTTCTTCCGTATGTTTCGGCCATTTATTTGCATATTGTGGAGTCTGCATCCAATTAAACTGTTCAGTGGCAGATAATCATAGAGTTTCACCGGTTTACAATCTGACTCGTATGTAATCTGAAGTTCTTCCTTGTTAGATTCGTTTTAGAGTAGTCTGGATTAAGAGAGTTAGTGTAACATGATTTTCGTTAGCATAAACTTTTACAGCGAAGCTCAACAGTTAACTATAGTTCAGACTCTGAAATACTCATATGGCTACACATATAGTCACTGCCAGAGTAGTTCTACTAGCATATGAACCTATTATTGGTCACCTTTACCACTGAGCAAGCGATGCTGAGGCTAGAAATATGATACTAGATAAGGATAGCAAATCAAGTGGTGAATTAGTGAATCCCCATCAGTTGAGCTGCTTGGGATATTTTTTTATGTGCCGGACCACGGATTACCCCGACAAGCTGTGCTTTATGGTATTGGAGGCTAGAAAAAAGGTACGAGCGGTCGAGCCAAACATAACGCCAGTCTACAACGTCAATGACATTTGGACTGAGTCATGTTGATTAGTCGATTTCTTGGTTAAGGTTGTTTGATAACCGTAACCACCAGTTGAAGACTACGTAACATGGCCAGTTTGTTTGTAGTGGCCCAAATATATTCAAATTCTAAGCTTCTGAGTTCCTGAATTTTTGTTATTATTATAATTCATTAATTTAAATGTTTCTTGATTCTTATTTCCGATCTCTAATCTTTTCCGTTACTATTAGCACTGTTACTACCTCCACTACTCTATGGTTTGATCTGACAACCTCACCTCTGTTAATTGAGGCATGATAACTGGAACTGATGTATGTACGTTCCAGGTTCTACGTTACAGCTCACTGACTGATGAGACTACATCTAACGTTTCATTGCCTTGTCAACTAATCCTCTCGATCAACAGCTTGGAGAGGTTCCCTAAGAAAACCACCTGTTCAATTTGAGCGTTCAGGCGGTATACTAGCCCACAAAGAAATTCATTGGTTTTATATGGCCAGTAAATATTCACGTCTATTTAAAATGTTAAGAAATAGACGGTCAGTCATGTGAAACGTAATGCCTTACACGTGTATCGGTTCAAGCTGCTACACCAGATTATTACAACGAATAAAATTATCAAGAAAAATCCTGCGAAAGAATCAATATTAGTAGAAAATATTAAATGTGTAAAGAAAGAGGCAGAAATTTATGACGGTATTTTGGAACTCGGTAATTAAGATAATTAGTAAGTGCACTACTGTCGTAAACAATTTGGAGCCATCTCTCCTAGTCTTCAACCGTTGTTTACTAACACGAATACTCCAACCATGTTATAAATAAAACCTGACCCGTACCTAGCCGATTAGTACTAGCGGGTAGTTCGAAAAGTGTTCAGAACACTTATGAAAATTTATTAATATACTGATGTTTTTACTGTTCTGATTCCTTTCATTTCAACCCGGTTTTCTCGGAATATAATTACATTCTTATTCAATTCGTGTTCTGATTTTCGCGACTAGTTGAGCAAGGCGCAGCACCTAAAGAACATGAAACAATAAGAATAACTGAGTAGTATAAATAGAGATTTAAGTGTTATTGACAAAGAAAAGGGCAAACGCATTCAGGATGCCTGTATCAGATGACCAGCTTAACTGAATTCTGCAATAGTGGAAGCACAACCTGATGCACAAATGCGGTTGATAGGCACTAACGCAACAACTAAACATTCATCGCACAAGTCCATCTATCCCCGAGATTACAAAAGTAGCAGTCAAAGCCCTAGGCACGGAGGGTAATTCACATCTGTTTTCAATATTTACTAGGTGAGGTCAATTGTACAACCACTTTCCGGTCCTATATCAATGTTCCGAAGGCTCAGTATATGTTAGTGAAAAATAATCCTGAATTCCTAACTGAAGGAGCCTGTTGTCCTATGTACCATAAGCTGCGAACATTAAAAATTTCAACATCTAATTTAGAACGTGACTTTAGGAGACCAGGAACAACTGATTCGTTCATGCTCAGAACAAAACTACTTGTTTTTTTAATTTCCCTACTCCACTTGTTCTATTAAAAACACCAGTTCAATAGATCAGTCTTGTTGATGTTCTCAATAGAATTATATCTCAACAAAAAGCGACTAGAACATCCAAAGTGAGTATTTGCTACTAAAACAAATCATCGTAAAAATGAGTTGAAATTCCATCAGCAATTCCATTCCAGTAATTTACTTTGATAGATTTTCAATTTAATTGATATTAATTTACACATCCTCAACAGTTACATTCTGTGAACTCAATTCTTTAGCATAGCCAGTCAGTCAGTTACAACATACAACTTCGTACGCACGTACATCAGTTTGGGTTACCATACCACTGTTACTTCAAGTTCCATAGTAGTAGCGGTAATAGACGTATCAGCAGTAATCGGAGCGATTAGGGTTCGACGATATTATTGAAAAAGTCGAATTTAGTGAAGTAAATTTGTAAAGATAAGGATGATGAGGAACTCCAAAGGTTAGGATTTGTTTCTTTAGCATAGGGGTGATTTATGAGTGAAGGTTTGATTTTGAGGACCGGATGAAAATTAGGAAGTAATGAGGGAGTTCGATCTTAACCAAGGTGATTTTGAGTGCTGTTCGGGGTGCGACATCAGTTAGCACTTACAGGCTGCTCACATAGTATGAAGATACTTGATACTCCTGGACAGAAAACCGGATTACTTATGGTCTTAGCGACCTAGAAGAGTGTCTTCAAAGTCCAAGTAAAGACTCCTTATGACCGGTCGTACAAGACCTTTTTGAAGAGTTTTTGGTGTGTTAGCTCCGTACTTTAAGTGACCTTGTTTCTAGCTAGGAAGTAAGTTAAGATAAAGTATTACGTTTGTGGAGCTGATTTTTTCCATCCGTTGGAACAAGGTATCATCGTAGATGCTAGTTGTCTAAAGGAAACACGCTATCCGTTTTAAACCTTTATGCAGTTACCTGTACAACTTCGCCATCGGACATCAAGTTTCTGATTTTGTTCTCACCGTTCTCCAACCAGACTACCTATCGTATTGGGACAGAATTTAGGCCATCACAGCAGCCAAACCCAATCATTACTTCGACTTATCAGCTACGGTAGGGAAATCTATAATCTTAACATTATAAGTATCAGATATATCTGGTTTATGAAATTTTTAGTGAGTTTAGCTGTATAACCTTTCTCTGTTAAATTTTAGAAACCGATAAAATTACTTCAGATATATGCACTCAAGTTTGCGTAGTGAACACATCCCAAACTTCCAGTGATAAACACTGTGTCCAACGAGTGGGGAGTCGGACACTGGTGATGCGGTAAGGACGGTGGTGGATTCAGAAGGATGAAGTGCTAGACTCGCTGAAAAATTTGATACTTGTTTACAAGCTGAGGTCCCATTACCGCCTATGGTAAGTTACATAAATAGCCTTAAAATATTACAGTTTTGGCTGTGAAATGCACATCAGCTATCTACCTGATACATTCCTATGCATAATATCATAGTTCGAATATGTTAAGCTTAAATTATATTACGGTCGTTACAACCTCATTCCAATCCTTTATATAAACTTGTTAGCAGAAATTAATTATGATTATCTTTCATTGTTGAACCCAATATCATATCAAACTTTATTCGCACAAAACTCATGCGTGTATGTAAGATTTGGAGCATATGAAATGAAGTCACTTCGTCCCATATAGTTTGTCCTTGATCTACCAAAGATTTTCAAGGGAACCTAATTTATTCACTATGTCCCAGTGATTCTTTTCCACTGTTCTTAACCTTCACTGCTGTATTTCACAACAGTAGCTAACTTCAAAAACATATGCGCATATCTGAGTATGTGCTATTATCGTGACATTATTTTGTTGAAAGGTGTACACAGTGTTGTAATGTTAGAGTCGAGGATGACTATGAATACTTCTACAAACTAATTACGTTCGGATCTCAAGCCTAATCCCGTCGTGAATTAATAAGAAACGAGGCTGATGTCGACCACGCAGAAGGAAAGTGTGCATAAACACAATGTTCGGTAAGACATTCACTGGTACAAGTGGTTATAATAATGAATGTTTCTGCTTCACCAACCTTGTTTTCTTCGTGAAAGTGAAATCACTACGGAGTAAATATTCATCTTTTATCCTTATCAGTCTATTGAAATCCCTACTTTTGACATTCAAACTCATTTCTTCAATTTAGGTTTCTTCTAATGCTGCAAACCGTGAACTTCCGACCTACACTAATTTTGCTAAAGAGGCGATCGACCAAGTATGATATATTTCTCTTTATATATATATTTATATTTAAAACTATTTATTCAAATAAATCCTTCAAAACGCGTTTGTTTCGGAGGTTTTATCTTTGATGTTGATGAATTTCCGAAGCCAGATAAGAAATCAGTAGAACAGAAATAATCGTAAGGTAGCTCAGAAACTTCAAAGCGATTGAGATAATTTTTTGATAAAATCTGACCTATTCGAAGATTCGGAACTGTAAGGTGCCATCATATCCATACTATATGGCATATCAAGTCACTGACATGTGGACTGAGCCATGTTAGTAAGTGTAGATCACTAGGTGAGGGTCCACGAGACGATAGTAACTGATGGTTAAAGACTCTGGATGACATGGTTCACAATTGTTCGCGATAACAAATGCATCCATTCTTTCTCTTCTCTCAAATTCTAATCTGAATTCCTCATAACCCTTTTTTCCCTTTTTAAATTTATTTCGCTGGATTATACTTCTTGAATAATCTCTTAGAACCCTAATCTCCATTACCTCTGATACTTTTACTACATCCACCACTATGGGATTTGAATCGACAATTCGATCTCTTTGTGCTAATGTGGTATGGCGACTTGAACTGATGTACGTACGTAGGAAGTTCTACGTAGCAGTTGACTGACTGTTAAACCCTGAAGCGCAAATTTGATATGTCAGCAAAAACAGTCACAACAGTAATAGTTAGATACCAAAATAAAAAAAAGAACTCAACTCAGAATGATAAAATAAGCGGGTAAGAAAACAGTAAGTAGTAGATTTCAGAGCTAGGTTGGTAGGTTCTCAAAGTATGAACCTACGCCTAAGCCCCCGAAATGATATCATTTCAAGATTTGCGCTTCTGCATTATTCAAATCAACGGTCAACGACTTCGTGAGCTCGTACTATGTTTTGGACTGGCCACATCTAACTTTTTTCAACTCAGACCTACTTCTGTCGATATTTAGATGGATGGTTCCCTGACACTCGTCATCTATGTCGCGAGCAGTAGCTTAGCTAATTAGTTAGCGATTGATCTTTAGCCAATCCTTCATTCAGTGTGTTTCACGTTAACGCATTAATGTTCGTTTGATAAATGCCGTATGTTGATTCGTGTTACATCCCTGATCCTATTGCTTTTACTTTAGTGTCACACTAATGTTATCCTGGATCGAATGCTGCCTTGAGGATAAAAATAATTTCGAAATGCCATATTCCAAACAAAAACTAATGTCGTGAAGGAAAGTTAGTATTTTCATCAAGAATTGACATCAGCTAAAGTCTTATTTAACCATATAGTTGAGTAAATTTGCTCCAAAATCCAATCCTGTTTTGAATCTAATTAGACCGTTCATAAATTATAGTCTTGCCGATGTATCTTATAAACCGACACAATATTTTTAGACCTTTTACTGATTTCTTATTATCTTTGTCTAACTTTTGTATCAAAGGCGTCCGTACTAAAAAATATTGATTTGAAAGGACTTATTCATGCCGAAATTTTACGTGTTTTAAGTGAACAAAATCACTGTTTTTCAACACCCAACACAACGGCTTCATTGGCGTCAGTTCCAGTTGATAATCTCTTAGCTCCAGTAGCCAAAACATCACCTAAGCAATCTGTAACTCCCATAGCAAATAGTGTTCCAAGCGCACCAAGTATTTTAAATCTTTGGCCACATCTTTCTTTTGGTGGTGTTTCAAGTAAACATGTACCCCCTCCATTGCCAGAAAGTGAGGAATTAATCAGTCCATCTGAGGAAGTAACAGGAATGTCTACCATCAACGAATTTAATTTGACTTCATCTTCTGACAATGGTCCAGAGGTAAACATTTCCTTATTATTTCTTGTTCAATGATTGCGTAATGTTAAAACGAATAAAAGTATTTTATAGAAGTTCAATAGAACCCGAGTCATCATCTATTCCCATTCGTGAAAATGCAGACGCTTTTTAATAGAAGCGGTTGCTAACTAGAACAATAAACAGTGCATTACTATAAGTCTCTAAATTCAGTGATCACCCTTCCACTGATATTAGCTCCCCCATCTCTCGATTAGCTGCTTTCCTGCACAAGCAACACTATTTATTAAGGCTTGTACTTCTGGGTATATGAAAGTACCATTTAAATTACACTAGTACTCTCTTTCAAACCCAGTAAGTTACACTAAATAACATTTTACATCATATCATGCATCCTGTTTCACCCAAGTAACTAAAGAGCTTATTTTATGATAATCACTATCAGCTGTTAGTCTATCAGGAAACTTTATGCTGTATTTTGATAATGTCATTAGTCAATTGAGGTCAAGTTGCATTATTCTCACAAGCTGCTAAATTAGAATTGCATACAAAATATAGTTTCATTATGGCTATCAAAACTGCTTTGTTTGGTACTTTCAACTTTATAGAAAATAAATCAGCCTAATTCAGTACCTGTGTAACTAAAAGTTATTTGAAGTTTCTACATCTGATCATTGTAGTATATTACTGCGATTTATATATATATATATATATATATATATATATATATATATATATACTAGTTTCTGCAATGTGTCAGGGTTGTTCAGCCAACCATACTTTAGACTGCTTCTGTAAATGTGTGTACTGAAACCTTGGTACACTGAATTTTTACTTGTTAGTCATACAGAAATGGTGAAATCCCTTCTGAATCTAAAACATTGATGCCCTCATTCTTAACCTATATTGGTGGTTTTGTTCGCCGCCAGATACAGCAATTGTCAGAAAGTCAAATCAGTGATTCCAATTATGGATCATGGTTATCTGAACTGGGTCTCAATCCTTGTGAGGAATCATTCAACAAGCCTATAGAAAGGCCATCCGTTCCAAGTTTTTCGGTCGATGAGGTTAGTTTTGATTGGTGCTCTTCTATAATAAATTGTTACTTCAATAACGTTTATATATAGTACTTTTATTAAATGGATACAGATTACTACTAAAAACATTTTAACGCTTGTCTGCAGCGTAAAATTTATCCATTTTTGTAACTTCACGACTTTATTATGTAGTTGGTAAATACCGCTCACCTTATCCCTTTTCTCACTACATTGTGTTTTCTAAGAGTATATAGTGTGTCCACATTTCACTATATGTTCTTGATTACTTTGATTTTTAACGTTGACACAGACAAATCTGGAAATAACTTTTTATGTAGAGGAGAAGAAATGCGTTTTATACGCTTTTGTAATAGGTAAAGAAAACCTGACCAGCTTTCACATTGAACAAACCTTTTCTCTGTACGTCCTCTAAGTTAACAAGTGAATGAGAAATTGTGAAATCAATTCTCGAAAAGCACTTTTATGATAAATTACTAATTAAAAAGTTACTAGCCTCATCAAACCATTACCTGGTGTTGCCGAATTTTGTAACAGTTTGTCATAGTTTTTGACCTGATCGTTAGTTTTCGAGTAGCCTTCAAAAACGATGTATATCTTTGGTACACCTTTCAGTAGCACACAGATGTAAAAGAAGTCTAATACTCGGATGTGATTCATCATTCAAGTCATTAAGTACAACTAAACTTGTCGGTTGTTAGGTACATCTATTTTCCCAGAGCTGCCAAAAGATAAACATTTGATCTATACATCCACATCTACAAGTGAAAGTAGCCTAGTTTTTTGAGTATACTTCTGAGCTTGATCATCTGCTTTATACAATTTCAAAGACTATACAGGTTTGTGTACAAAGGTACAGCCATGTATCTCCTTGGGCGACCACTTATTAATCGTCCTAATGAATGACAGAATATTGCCCTATACTTGACAAGCTGATATCCGAACAGTGAAGACTCCATTTTTATTCAGCAGCTATTAGTTGGCTAAGATTTGTATTTTGGAATGTTTGTGTTGGAAAGGTTTTGTTATGGATCCCGAAAATCGATTAGGTTTGGGAATGATATATCAAGTGTTGCGTAATATATACACCCTTCGAAACCCATGAAAAAATTCCTCACTTTTGGAGCTGATTTTGCACCTTGAAGCAGAAATAATCGGTGCTACTCATATATATATATATATATTACTTAACAAAGCAGTGTGGATTCAGTAGGATCATGTTAAAAAGTAGCTGAATATCATACTGTTAATCATTTGATTTCATTTCAAAAATAATAGGGGAGTTTTACCTTCATCTAAAACTTGACCTCTACAATGAGAAAGAAGATTGCTTCTTAGCGAAGGTTTTAACCTTTAACTAATTAATCATATTAATGTTTCTCTTAATCCCTTTTTTTAATGACTCCAAGCAATATTTCCTAACCTTTTCGTGAATTAGACTTGAATACAGATGGTATTTCATGAGTATCATTGTTCCTTTAAGAAGATACCCTGCTTTACTAAATCCTTCATTCTACATTTTTTAGGAACAACCTTGGTGTCCTGGATGTCACCGAATGTTTCCATCACGAGCTGACCTAGAAGAACACTTCAACGATTGTTTATTATGAATTGGTTGGTCCTTTTACTTTAGATTATAATTATTCTATATGCTGACAAGCACTCCATAATTTGGTTGTACAATTTAGTACTTCCCTCGCCATTCCACGTAACAATCACTACAGCGACTGGAAATCGTAACATATCTATCATTCTCAACATCAAATCAGATTATACTTTGATCTCTTTATTTATAATGTTTACTGTTTATCACGACTTTTGTCACTAACATTTATCATTGTTATTATTATTATTATCATTATAATCATTTTATTCATTAATTGTTGTTACTTCGTACTAAGTCGTTTAACATTTAAATACTTGACAGTTTGATGAAAATTATGCCACTGAATATGGATTAGTCATGTTTTGATTCCTACTCGTTATTTAAAGAAAACACATCATTTGATACATTTTCAAGTGTTTATTAATCAGGTCATTATTGTATATGTAGGTAGACATGAAATAAATTTCCAAATAAACTGCCTTGATTAAAAATGTCCAAAAGCATTGGTGAAACCCGAAGAAACCTCCGATGTTGCCCAGGATTTTACCTTATTAACCATATTCTGAAGTGATTTAATCATGAAATTTGAAAATTGATACATCCATGCTAGCTAAAAAGTAATACTTGCTATTAACTGGATACATTTTTCTCAAAAGTCGGTAACTAAGATATTCTGTCTTAAAGTATTCTAAGCACATGGTGGTCTAACCATGCTTTGTAATATGAATGCTGCCAGTTATTTTCAACCATACGTCATTTACAGTCAAAAGGTTTACCAAGTCTTAAAAAATTCAAACATGTTTATGATGTCAACTAGTCTTGATCATTTCAAGGATTTACGAGTTTACTGACAGTTTTTCTCATTTCAGCGTCGTTACGTAAAACGTTCTCGGATTCAAAAAATTCAATCTGACTAGAGCTACTAAACAGAATATTGTTAGTTCTTACAAAAAAATGAGTCAACTGTTTGTCCTTTAATTTCTTGTAAATCTTAAAGAAGTACCTTATCATATCTGTGATAATTGAGTTAAAGCGTCATATGTAAGTAAATCATTGGTTGTGAAAGAGGTTCAAAACAATATCAACTGAATTTCCGACTCATATATCAACTAAATCATACTACTATTGATTACGTATAACATCACTTACACTTTTAAAAGATTAGTCAATGATTGTTTAAGAAATACTGTACGTAACTTAAGAAAATTGTTCATAGAATTCAAGAGATAAACTATTTGAAGATCATATCATCAAATAAGCGAATACTCCTCAATTTGTGCTTATATCTTCGTAGTCTTTCTTAACCTACATATCAAACTCTGATTTTTCCATGCATGGTCTTACTGCTTTTACTCGACGATCAAAAACCAGTGCAGGTCTCAACAGAAAATGAGAACACGAAAGACAGATACAATGGAGATTTAGTTATTACGAAAAACATCTAGAAATTCCCAAAGTCACGTCGTCATTAGACCAAAATACAATTATTTGCATACTTATTTTACACACACTCAACATTATGATATAAAGAAGTATTTGTAGAAAAACACTAAGTGTATTTCACTTAAATTAATACTAAAAATAGAATTGTCACACTTGTAATATCGATTGAAAGTTATTCTGAATTGAAACAAATATTTATCTAACTAGTGTCGTCTTTTTATGCGGTCATATCAGTAGGAAGTTGACCCCCTGTATATCATTATCCTAAGAGCGTCACATTCGTGTAGTGTAAAATACTTCAACACAATGTGTGTTGATTTATTCAGATTAATATTTTTAAGCTATTCTGCACAAAATCGTGAAGTAACGGCGTTATGTTGCAATAGATATGATTATTTGCTGATAGTTTCTTGATTTTATGTTAACCTATGCATCAAAAAGTTAAATCCCACAATAAATCAACAAGATCGTGTTATTGATTTTGAGGATCGTTTTCTTAGTTTTTAGCAGTCCTTTCAGCGTATAATGTGAACGGACATCAACTGATGGTTCTTAAAAATAGTAATTACTAAACAGGTTTTTAATTGTAATTTCAGTTAACTATACGTATTTAAGTTGATCGATCTCTGTAAATTTCATCAATCTACAGATTGAACTAGAGCAGATTAGTAGAATAAAATCTGTTTATTTTTAAAGTGGCCCTTACAATGTTTAGCTGGTCAGTGAGTAGATAGGATGCAGCTGGTGTCTCACAAGACACTGCATTATGAAAGTTAATTGATTGGTCTCTTCACTTGAATTATTGCAGATCGTTTCTATTACAGAACTTCATATTCGGATCTTTCAGTAAGCATAATATCGACCCACCGTGTTCGTAGGTTATGTGGATTTTGCCAACTTTTGTTTCAGTCCGTATTCCAAGCAAAGATCAAATTGATGTATAATACTATCGGGTTCTGAATAGTTTTTCACTCACACAATACTCTGTTCCCTGTCAATTTTCAATGGTATGGATTTCTTCTTGCATCATATTGTATTTTAAAAGTTAGGTCTATCCTTATGTGTAGTTTTCCAATTCACTGTCTTATGATTACCTATTAAATGACTATTAATTTTAAAATAATTTTTATTGATGAACAGATAATAAGACTTTAAAAAAAATTTAATATACATCCATACATTCAAAGATCAAATAATCACATGCAAATCTAGCTTATTTTGTTGTTACATGCACACAGATTATTCAAAACACACTTTTGTATGTTAAATTTGTAAATTGCAGAATTTAAATCGATAATCTATTCAAAATACACCGAACTAAATTGAAAATTATTGAACAGAAAGCTTGTGGTTTAAATATTACGAGCAATATATCTATTCAAATGAATTTCAGATTTATACTAGAGAAATACAGGACAAATAAAACAAAACTCATATAGTTTTCAGAGTTTATTTGTTTCCGAACTCTTGATTTCACTTGGTTTATTCGCCTATCAATAGTCTGTTTAGTGAGGTGATTTTTCATGGAAGTAATTTTCATGCTGAAAAGATTCCACCTAGGAAGAGGTAGTCATTAAACCTTGGATGTAAATTAATTTTGTTTCAATAGATCACCAAAAAATTCGCCACACAGCCAAAGGTATTATGCTGTCGAAAAATAAAGAAGGTTGCACAATAAATAAAGCAATTAACAGCAGTATTATTTAAAGAAAGTTTATATAAATATACAACTACGAAGGACTGTAATTCAATTGAGAAAAGCATATGAGAATGGGTACTAACTTTTATTATGAATTATATCTGAAAGTTAGTCGGATTACTGAGTTCTCCGAACTCAAGGACTCAAACATGGAAGTTGAAATGGATGAAAAGATGCCTGTCATTAGCAATAAGTGGTTACTTTGTCTTAGCTTTAAATTTCTCATTCCTGTGTACATACTATCACACTCAGAGTAAAAGCAGTAACCGCTATGCTTGTGTTAACTGCTTACTTACTTAGGTCCGTTACCCCCAATGCAGCATAGGCCGCCGACCAGTTTTATCCAACCAACTCTGTCCTGGGATTCCCTTTCCAGTGTTCGTTCATTCTTCTCATGTCTTTATCTATTTCACGTCGTAATGTGTACCTTGGCCTTCCTCTTTTCCCTTGACCTTGATGGTTCCAAGTGAGGGCTCGTCTTGTCCATTGAACACCGTGCTTCCCTCCAGATGCTGACGTCTTCATAATCCAGTCAATGACCAGGAGAAAGAGAAAGGGTGAGAGTAAGCAACCTTGCCTGGCACCAGTCTTCACGTCGAACGAGTTTGTTAGCTGACCTCCGTTTACGATTATGCAGTTGAATCCATCATAAGAATTCCGGATTATGTTAACTATTTTCTCAGGCACTCCATAGTGTCGAAGAAGCCTCCATTGTGTTTTCCTATCCACGCTACCGAATGCTTTCTCGTAGTCGATGAAGTTGATGTAGAGTGATGAGTTCCATTCAATTGATTGTTCCACGACGATCCGTAATGTTGCGATTTGGTCGACGTACGATTGATCCTTACGAAATCCAGCCTGTTGATCTCGATATTGGGCGTCTACGAAGTCCTTCATTCTGTTTAACAATACCCTGTTGAAGTCTTTTCCTGGTATTGAGAGAAGAGTGATGCCCCTGTAGTTCTCACACTTGCTCAGGTCGCCTTTCTTTGGTATTTTGATCAGATATCCTTCTTTTCTTCATCCCAAATCTTGTTGAAGAGGATGTGAAGTATTTTTGCAGTTGCTTACACGTCTGCTTTCGTTACCTCTGCTGGAATGTTGTCTGGTCCTGCTGAGTTGCCACTCTTGATTTGTCTGATGGCCATGCTGATCTCTTCAATCGTAGGTGCGCCAACATTGATTGGGAGGTCCGTAGATGCTGGTTCGATGTTAGGTGTATTCATTGAGGCTGGTCGATTCAAGTGCTCTACCCACCTGCTTCGCTGTTCCTCAATGTTTCTGATTACTTTACCTTCCTTAATTTTCACTGGTCGTTCTGGTTTACGATGGTTTCCGGCGAGCTTCTTTGTTGTATCGTACAACTGTCCCATGTTTCCTTCTCTTGCAGCTTTTTTCGCCGTCATTGCTAGATCTGCCACATATTTTCGTTTGCTGGTCCTGATGCCCTTCTTCACTTGCCTCTTAGCTTCTATATATTCAGTTTGTGCTTTAACTTTCTCTGCCCTTGTTCGAGTGACGTACCAACAGAGATTCATTCATGTGACGGTGTTTCTTGTGACCAAGAACCTCGCAATATGTTGAAGTGGTTGCCTCTTTGATCCCTTCTTAATTGTTATCCAAGGTTGTCTCCTCTCCATTGAGTAGATCCTGCAAGGTCCCGAACTTATTGCTGAGGGCCATCTTGAATTCGTTGAGTTTTACGGTATCCCGCAGAAAGGCTGTATTAAACTTCTGTGACGTTGTCTGCCCCGTTGTCCAGTGCTTGTTTAGTTTCAGTTTCATTTTGGCGACCAGTAAATGGTGATCTGAAGCTATATCAGCTCCTCTCTTGGTTCTCACATCCTCAATAGTCCTGAGCT